GAAAATATCTGTCCTTCAAGAGTTTACTGACAAGAAGTTCAGGATGTGTAGCTAGTCTCCAAAGTTGTTTGCAAATTAAGGCTTGGTTAAACAATTCCAGGTCCAAGAAACCTAGGCCTCCCTCTGATTTAGGCAGTGTAAGTAATGACCATTTCTTCCAATGTATTCCTCTAGACTGCTGATCACCAGATTGCCACCAAAACTTGGCACAGAGCTGGGCAATTTCTGAACATAGAGTCTTAGGAAGCTTGAAACATGACATAGAGAATATTGGTAAGGCTTGTACAATTGCTTTCAGAAGAACTTCTTTGCCAGCAGGGCTAAGAAGTTTTGCCTTCCAATTTTGAAGTTTGCTTTTAACAGAGGTCAAGAGGTATTCAAAAACTTCTTTCTTAGACTTGCCTATTCCAAGGGGTAATCCCAAATATCTAGTGGATCTGTGGGGGACAATACCATTGAGAGCAGCACAAACTACTTGCTGGAGAGGTTGTGGAGTGTTTCTGCTAAAAAAGATAGCAGATTTGTGAAGATTAATTGCCTGCCCAGTGAAGAGCCTATATTTCTCAAGTAGTGTCATGAGTACTGCAGCTTGATCAGCTCCTGCTCTACAAAAGAATAAAGAATCATCTGCAAATAGTAGATGAGTAAGCAAAGGCCCATTTCTAGAAAGTTTAAGCCTTTTCAGGTTTCCACATTCAACCGATTGCAGGATAAGAGCAGTGAGGATTTCAGCAACTATGATGAATAGGTAAGGGGACAATGGGTCCCCTTGTCTAATACCCCTCGATGGAGTAACAAAGCCACTGACAGTCCCATTAATTTTGAAAGAGAATGATGCTGTGGAGATGCAAATCATTATCAACTTGACAAAATCTGTGTGAAAACCCATCTGAAGCATTATTTTCTGAACACTTAGCCATTCAACTCTATCAAAGGCCTTAATCAGGTCAAGTTTAAGAGCCATAAAGAAATTTGGACCTGATGAGTGTCTATTCAAAAAATGAAATGCTTCCTGAGCTACTATGACATTGTCCATTAACTGTCTTCCTTCAATGAATGCAGATTGGTGATCACTTATACAAGAGCTTAAACAAGCTTTCAATCTTTGAGCTAACACTTTGGAGATGGTCTTATAAATCACAGTGCATAAGCTTATTGGTCTAAACTGACCCAAAGATTCTGGGTTTGAGCATTTGGGAATCAGAGAGAGAATAGTATGATTCCAATACTTAAGGATCATACCTGATTGGAAGAAGCTAAGGATAGCAGCCAAAACATCCTTTTTAACCAGTTCCCAGAAGTGCTGATAAAAACTGGAGCTCATTCCTTCCTCACCTGGTGCTTTATCTGCTGGAAGGGTGAATAATGCTGATTTAACCTCTTCTTCAGATACTGGTTTCAGGAGTGCTTCATTCATATCAGCTGTGATTGATTGAGGTATCAAGTGGAGAATTGAGTCACCATCCCAGCTACCTTCTGAAGTGAAAAGATTTGTGTAAAATTCTGAGATGTGTCTCTCTATGGCTCTTTGACTGGTCAGCAGTATTCCTTGTGGGGATATGAGTCTTGTGATTGCATTCTGTCTCCTCCTCTGAAGGGTAAAAGCATGGAAAAATCTGGTGTTAGAGTCTCATTCTTTAAGCCATCTTTGTCTTGATTTTTGCTGCCAGAAAAGTTCTTCCTGGAGATGGGCTTGGTTTAGAGCTCTTTTTGTTGAGTCTCAGCTATCCCAGTTGTCACCTGTTTTATCACTGTTCAGCTCTTCCAATTTAGTAGTGAGATCTGCAATAAGAGCTTGATTACTGGAATGAGGAGCTCCACTTGAGAAGAGCTATCCTTGTGTGCTTCACTTTTTCTTTCAATCTGAAGAAAGGGGTGCCATTTATTGGAGTGTGCCATGCTTGCTTGACAATCTCTTCAAATCCAGCTTTGCCTATCCACCTTTTATCAAAATGGAATCTGGTTTGTTTCTTGACCTTAGGGAGGCCCATATTGAGGAGTAGAGCTGAGTGATCTGATGAACTTCTCAGAATGTTTGTTACTGAGGCATTAGGATGATTGTGGTGCCAGTCCAGGGAGGCAAATGCTCTATCAAGTTGCTCTTCAACCAAATCTGGAGCAGTTCTGTTGTTACACCAGGTATATGGATATCCATTGAGTCTGATTTCTTCCATATCCATATCAGCAATGAAGGAGTTGAAAGCTTGAAGGTTGGCTGGACTTCTTGGAATACCTCTTGATTTTTCTGAGTTAGCACATATATCGTTCCAATCTCCTATTGCAAACCAGCTATTTCCCCAGAGATGTTTTGACTGAATTAATTCATCCCATTGAGCTGTTCTAGAGATTCTGCAGGGGTTAAGATATACAAAGATGCCCCATTGATCATTAATAGAAGGTAAAGAAAATTGAACAGCTATGAAGAAATTAGTACTAATAATCTGCTGAATAATTACAGAAGTATCCCAAAACAATGCTAAACCCCCTCTGAGACCGGTGGGGTCTACAATTACATGTCTATCAGCATAGCCTAACTTAGTACTAATAGATTTAACAAATGATTTTTGTTTTTTTTGTCTCAGAAATAAAGAAAAATTGTGGGTGATGAGTCTTAATCAACTCTCGCATTTGGGAAATTGTAGAGGGCCCACCCAGCCCTCTACAATTCAACACCAGAGCTATCATTTGTCCATGTGGTGCCAATCCAGGCTGGCAACCTCCACCTTCTTTTCTTGTAGCTTGCTTTTTTTAGGAGCAGATTGGTTCTCTGATTTGGTATGATTGAGGTTAGAATGATCTGCTTCAGGGTCTCTAGTTCTTTTCCCTTTTGTGTCTTGTTCTTGTGCAGCCATGACGGGAGACTCTCTGATTAGTCTGCCATCTCTACCTCTGGCTCGTCTCCAGGATTTCAGGGCATTTGTAGAGCAAGGCAGTAGTGAGTTGTGAATTTGAAGAGTGTGTGAAGTTGTATGAGTTTCCAGTTCCACTTCCATAGCTTTAGTTGATTCAATAATTTGCAGTGCAGATTCCATCAATGCTTCCTAAGACGAAGGAATGTTAGAGGCTGAAGCGAGAGAGTCTTGAGTGTCTTCTGCCTGCTTAAGAGGTGAGTTTTCTGGAATTGGAATGAGTTGTTGGCTTGTTTCTGAGAACTTGTGTGTGGAGAGGATCTCTGATCTTGGCCTGCTGGTGTCTCCTGTTGTGGTGATCCTCTAGCACTTGAGTTATTGTTATCAAACCACTTTTGCCCCTCTGTCACCTTCATAAAGTCCCCAAACTGTCCTTCCATGACAGAGTTATTATCGATATCAGATATTCTTTTGGCACAAGTCCTGTCAAGATGTCCAATGAAACCGCAATAATGGCAAAGATTCAGAAGCTTTTCGTATTTGAATCCAACTTGTGCTGCTTCTTCTCCCAGTCTTATGTTTGCCACACGAGGGAGAGGTTCCTCAGTGTTCAGAGTGACCAATAATCTGAGAAATTTTCCCCCATGATTCCCAGAATTTGCAAGAACTACATTTTTCACTCGTTTAAACACTTTGCCAATTTTAAGACCGACCTCAGTGCTTAGCCAGTTAATGGGTGTATTAGTGACTTGAACCCAAATATTAAGCTCTTGAAAACAAGGGTGTTTACTGGACATACCTTGACACCATTCCTTGAGTATAAGATATTGGTTTTCAAAGCTCCAGTTTATACCGTTGGCCACCTTCTTCATGTCTTCCCTACTTTGGAAAATGAATTGGAAATAATTGGGACTTAACTCTTTGATTTCCATGGACTGAGTGAGGCGCCATATCGTCGTCATCGTCCTTTTTATTCCTATCCAACTGGCCGCTCTTTCCCCAATTATTTTCCCGAAAAGACTCCTACTGCATTCATCCTCACTTAATTTTATATCAGTGCGAGCTATGTCAATGAATGTAGACTCCTTCTCAGATAGGGAGAAGCCCCGCATCTGATTTGATAGATCGTCGTCCGGGTTTGCTGCCATCGAAAGGTGAACCCTAAAATCTGGGTTCTACAGATTGAGGGAGAAGCAGGGATTAAAGAAAAAGGTAAGATGAGGAATATTAGTTTGAATTTTTGGAAATAGGACGGAAGTGAGAAACTAAGGAAAGGGAAGTGATCTGAAACTCTGCAAGAGATTTGTAAAACAAAACGGTCGCTCCCACCTGAGAGAATCGCCTATCGCTCCCACCTGAGAGAATCGCTATATATTATCTATTAGGTAGAGAAGTAATTATTTATTTATGGATCGTATGTTTGCAGTATCTATATATATATATACATATAATTGATGGCGAAACAATAGATAAAACCTAATTAATAAAACCTCTATAGGTTTCCCGCTCATTTTTGCAATTAATGTAGAACCGTTACATTTTACATTAATAAAATAGAATAATAATTTGAAACTAATTTATTATATAATAATTATGACTAATAATAACTAATTATTAATTTTCTATTAAATAGTATGTAAAAGTTAAATACTTATAAGAAATTGTATTGCAATTTTTTCCATTAAGATACTTATTCTACAATATGTATTATTTTTTCGTCATATTAAGCGATTTTTCTCAAATATTAGTTAATTGGCATGAGTGTCATAGTTATACCCTTTCAAATCACATAAACAATTGTTGTAACAATAAAAAAAATAATTATAATGATTTTATAACTAATTAATTGTAAGATCCCTCTAAATTGTAAAACTAGATTGTCCATTAAAATACATGTCATGCATATAAAGATTCATAAATAAGTTAAATAATCTATATTTATATTGTACATTTGCATATAGTAGAAAATTTCAAAATATAATACATTCAATATGTAATTTAAATTTTAAATATTTTATACATACACATAATATATAAATTTTATTTGTTTTTGTGCATGTGCACATGAGTGATACTATTTTTTAGAATATTGAAGGATATATGAAAATTTTCCTTTACGTAATGATAGTTAGCCAAGCAATTGGGCTTGGCCCAGATTAAGTGATATGCACCCAAGTTCAACTGAAACCCTTCACGGCCTCACCACCACAAAATGAAACCCTAATTTCTGATAGTTTCCCGTCTTCTATTTCCACGCCTGAGAGAGAGAGAGAGAGAGAGAGAGAGAGAGAGAGAGAGAGAGATGGTGTCGGGTTCAGGGATCTGCGCGAAGAGAGTGGTGGTCGACGCCAGGCACCACATGCTCGGCCGCCTCGCTTCCATTCTGGCGAAAGAGCTATTGAATGGTCAGAAGGTTGTAGTGGTTCGCTGCGAGGAAATCTGCCTTTCAGGCGGACTCGTACGCCAGAAGATGAAGTATTTGCGTTTTCTTCGCAAGCGTATGAACACCAAGCCTTCTCATGGTCCCATTCACTTCCGCGCACCTTCCAAGATTCTATGGAGAACAATTCGTGGGTAAGGCCTGATTTTGTTATTTTTTTTATTGGAGTTGTTCTGTTTTTGTGATAGTGGTGATGCTCAGAATTTACTTTATTTTTTTTTTTCTAATTTTTATATTATGGTAGTCTTCAAGGTTTATCTCTTCATTGGAGCACAACTATATATATAGTAATTCTTGAATCAGTATCAACCATAGTTCTTTAATCCGAGTATGTTTGTTTGACTTCTTATGATACTGTACCTAACTATCTGCATCAAATGAGAAATATATAATAGTTTATTGGATCCAATATTGCGTGTATTATGTGTTAGGCCTTGTGTGATTGCCTCTGCTTCATCGATTATTCCCTGCTTCCTGGCTTATTTTGCAAGTTAATTTAAATGTGAGTTGGAGGTCTGCGATTGATTTATTTGTTCTTTGAGTTTCCTGGATTATCTGCTGTGTTTTGGTGCATTATTGTGCTTTGAGTTTTCATCATGGTAATTTTCTATCCAATCTAGAAGTAGTTACCCTGTGGCTTTGTATGGCATTATGGTTATCTCATCTTGCTAAGAACCATGATCTCTTATGCATTTAGCTGCAATAAATATATTTGACTTTGGTTGGAAGAAATGACTGTATCAGGAGATTGCTTATGGCAAAAATAAATTTCACATCTTGTTTGTTTTTACATAGGACCCGTCTTACATTTATCTATCTTATTATCTTTTATATTACATGCAGTGGTATGTTAATCTGTTTGTTCCCATCTCTTCTGGCCAATTTAGTACTATATTGTTCTAATTCTTTTATGAGTTACCCGGAAACATCTGCCAATTCTGTATGGAAATGGTCGCTCTTTTGTGTATTTCATTAAGCAATGAAGAGATACTTGAGAATGAAATATCACTTGGCTTGTTTCATGTATGCAGGATGATCCCCCACAAGACCAAACGTGGAGAAGCTGCCCTCGCACGTTTGAAGGTTTACGAGGGTGTACCACCACCATATGACAAGATGAAGAGGATGGTTATTCCTGATGCCCTCAAGTGAGTTGGCTGATTGTCAAAATTTTAACAGTATTTGGATGTCTTGTATGTGAAATTGCATTTCATTGCTTCCTTGACGAGCAGGGTTTTGAGGCTTCAAGCTGGTCACAAGTACTGTTTGTTGGGCAGGCTTTCTTCTGAAGTTGGATGGAACAACTATGATATCATCAGGGTAATTATTTATGTTCTCTTTATTCTGTTTATTCGGTCGCTATGGATAAGATTCTTTATTTTGGCTTACTTAGGTTCCTTTTTTTATGCTACGATTATGTGCAACTGATCATAGTCTTACTCCATCTTCAATTATTGATAGCCTGAACATTGTCGAGCTAGTTGTCCTGTAATTGCCAATTATTTTGCAATGGTTCGATTTGCTTTTTGTTGCCCTATTATTTGTGAGAGAATATTTTTTCCAAACATTTTTAGTCTCGTCATGATTGGTGTTGATTCTTGTAGATCGTCTTCACCATATCCACTGGAGTAAAAATTTGATTATGATATTTCTTAACTCCGATGTTCATGTTTATTTATACAGGAATTGGAGAAGAAGAGGAAAGACAGAGCCCAGGTAGTTTATGAGAGGAAGAAACAGTTGACTAAATTGAGAGTCAAAGCTGAAAAAGCTGCTGAAGAGAAGCTTGGTGCTCAACTTGATATTATTGCTCCAATCAAGTACTAACATACAAGCATATTTTTTCAAATTAAAGTTTTGTTGGTTAGTGATGTTCTGTTTGATTGAGTTGTTTATGTTATGTTTGAAGTCCATTTGATTTGTTGTGTTTTCTTGTGTCTGGCTGGCTGCCTTCTCTTTTTTCAATCACATTTGGACTATTGTATAACACTCTTTCTTGAAATCAGTAATGGAGTATTGTTAAACGATTGGAAAATGTTTTAAGAGGTTTAATTTTGACTTGATGAGCTTTGTTTTGACCACGCTTTCTCAGCTTGTGTTTAGTTTTTGGTCAAACTGAAATAAATTTGATAAAAATGCTCAGCAAAAGATATGTATGGTCTAGATTAATTGACGTTTTGCTGCAATGTGTTGCGTGGATTGGCATTTTGAAATGGCTATGAATATTTTAGGCTATTTTAGGCTAAAGGACGCAAATATGTTCCTCTAAAAAACCTGTTCCCATTCTGTGAGACAAGTAAAATAATTCCACTAATGTACTCCATATAGCCTTTTTACACCTGCTAAAGGACGCAAATATGTTCCTCTAAAAAACCTGTTCCCATTCCTCGAGACAAGTAAAATAATTCCACTAATGTACTCCATAGCCTCTTTACACCTATGTCTTCCATAGCCTTTTTATTCCACTAATGTACTCCATAGCCTCTTTACACCTATGTCTTCCATAGCCTTTTTATTCGAAGCCTGAAAACAATTCCAAATATTTATTCAAAATTCAAAAGTCTTTTTATTTGAAAACCATACCGTTATCTTGTATAAATTCATTTAGATCATTTTCAGTTTATCTTAAACTTATTACATTTATACTAGTAAAAATTAATTAGAATTTATGGTTAATCATAAGTATATTTTTTATTTTTCTACTAAATCATAAAAAAACTGGTGAATTTTAATTATATCTTAAGCATATCATAAGTATATTATCTATTTTCTTTACTAAAAATCATAAAAAACTGATTAACCTTAAGTATATCTTAAGTATATTATCTAATTTATAATTATAACTAAATGACACAAAAATGAATAGACAACAAAATCAATNTATAAAGTTATAAACTACAAATAAACAAAAAAAACCTAATTAAGAACCATATAATCATATCTTTGATTACAAATTAACAATCAAATTAACTTTCAAAATCATTCAAAACACAAATATATCACATAGTAGCACACACACAAACAACGATCACCAATCGGCACAACAACGCGACAGTCGACTTCAAATTCTCTACATCAAAATACCTGAGTCACATTTGCAGTGAATAAAAAAAACTTTCAGATATTACTCAAGCTCCGAGCTTCAAGAAATCATAGATAAACATCAAATTAATTCTCAAAAAACTAAATTTTTTTCCCAGAAATTAACACACGTAATGAAATCATAGATCAATTAACACTCAAAAATTTACTTTATAAAAAATTTCCACAGATTATTCAAACTCTCATCTTCAAGAAAACCATAGATAAACATCAAATAAACATCAAACTAACACTAAAAAAGCTACTTTAATTTTTTTTTTCTTCTAAAAATTAACTCAAGTAAATTAGAAAGAAGGGGTAATCGGAGCCATCGAAAAATAGAAAACGCAGCCCATCACTTTTTTCGACTTTCGAGTCTCCATTTTCACCTCTCTTCTCATCTGACAGAAAAAACATATCGGTTGGCCGATGAGTAAAACAAAGGAACTTCAGAAAATAGACTAAAATAGTATCACAACTCACAAGAAAACACAGTTGGAACGATCGAAATTCCACAAGTAGCCATTTATCTATATTCACCAACTAGCACTGCAAAACCCGGAATCATTTCGAATTCTCTATAGTCTAATAAACAAAGCAAATAATCATCCAATTTACCTCAATTCATAAACAGCAAAGCCACAAATAAAACAAATAGCCTAATATTTATGGTTTAATAGCTCAAGAACATTTGGATAACATCAAAGCATCAAGAAACACTCATCAATCAATTCATAATTATTATAAAACAATATATTTTCCTTTTGGATAATAAAAATAAAACCGCAAAAGCAACTCGACATACATTTCTGAAAACCTTCTACAAGGACACATTGCGTTTAGCAAGCATATCGGAACCATATTATGCTTTATCAGGGTGAAAGAGCAAATATCCAAAACCACAAAGAATATGCCTCAAAAGAACATACATACTCACATATACACACCTGTTTGAGAAAACCGGCCCCAAAAGCTCGAGTCACCTTTAACAAACCTTTCACTCGGTCATTGATCACAACACAAGCATGATCAAGATGTTCATTTCTAATCCTCGTAACTTCCTATCGTACGAACCACCACAACAACAACAATAAATCGAACTTCAGCAAACAAATCAATGTAAAAAAAAAAAAAAAAAAAAAAAAAAAAAAAAAAAAAAAAAAAAAAAAAAAAAAAAAAAAAAAAAAAAAAAAAAAAAAAAAAAAAAAAAAAAAAAAAAAAAAAAAAAAAAAAAAAAAAAAAAAAAAAAAAAAAAAAAAAAAAAAAAAAAAAAAAAAAAAAAAAAAAAAAAAAAAAAAAAAAAAAAAAAAAAAAAAAAAAAAAAAAAAAAAAAAAAAAAAAAAAAAAAAAAAAAAAAAAAAAAAAAAAAAAAAAAAAAAAAAAAAAAAAAAAAAAAAAAAAAAAAAAAAAAAAAAAAAAAAAAAAAAAAAAAAAAAAACGCCCATCAAATTTGAGCATACTTTCTTTACCTCATGAACCGAGGTGATTTGTTCGTCTGTGAGCTGAAAAGTAGTTAATCTCGGCAGCAAATCTGGCACGCCCTAGGAGTGAAAACCAAAAAATTCCATTGAGATTCTCCATAAAGTTATTTCAATAGATAATGACACATTAATATATGGCAATAATGACAAAATAATCATCCAATTCACAAACAGCAAAGCAACATATTCCAATTTACCTCAATAAGGACACATTAATTCAGTCACTGGGAATTGGATCTAGGGTTCGGGTTGGCCGAATCTGCATACGCTAGGGTGAAATTCAGGTTGAAGAAACCGTCAATTGAGTAGACGAACACAAATCCGTCGTCGACAATGGGGGTATCGGAAAATTCGACGTTTGTTGATGGATATTTGTTCAGGCTGGCCGGAGGTCACGGCGAGGTGGCTGACGGGGGAGAGGGACGGGACTGTGGAGGCGAAAGGCAGGGAGAGGAGGGATTGGGGAGAGAGAGAGAAGGGGGAGATGTGAAGGAGGAGGTGGGCGAGAGACGGCTGACCGAAAGTGGAGAAGGCGGAGACCGGCGTGGAGAAGATGGTGAGGGTGGTGATGGGCGTCGATGATAGAGAAAGTAGAATTGCAATTTTCACAGTTTCGTAATTTAGGCTTAATGAAATTGATGTGCGATTTTTTTTTTAATCTCGTTAAATGGGCAATACAAAAAATTGGGCTCGTGCAGAGGGTACTTATTTCAATATTTTACCCGTCAAGTTGTGCTATTGATAATAATTTTCCAGATTAATTGACGTTGTGCTTCAATGTGTGTGCGTGGATTAGCATTTTAAAAGGGCTATGAATTATTTTTTTTTTCGAAACGATAGAGAATATTATAAATCAAAACGCACAAATGTGCAAAGATACAACCCATAGTTAAATAATATAACCAACAATTGAAAAAGTGGGAGAGATTAGAAGACCGCCTAGAAACGCAACTAGCAATGCTAGAAACCAAAGACACGACAAACACTAAAAAATAACTATAACAAAACTCCCAATAGGAGAATAGACACGATCCCAAAGGGAAAATACCCGCTCACACTTGGGCTCACAGGGGCCAACGGCCCAAACCAAGAACACAATACCTAATCAAAACAAGCACAAACCACAAATACAGACTAAAACAAACCAAAACTAACTAAAACATAAGAAAATAATAGACGAAATAAACAAGCCATTCCCAACAGCTAGACCAATCAGAACCAACGAATCCAAGTTGGCACACAGAGAGCCCCGCAACCAAAGAGGACCAACTCCGAAACTGCCAAAAACCAACTGGATTGCCTAACGGAGTTGAAATCCAAATCCCGGATCATCACCCAAGCCAACTCACAACACAACCACAACACCCAAATTGCCCAGGAACCGCCACTGGATCGAACACTAACACCACTAGCAGAGTTCGACAGTGCTCGCCAACCCCCCCTCCCCCCCGAGACTCTACGCGAGAGAACAGGGGAATAGAGCTAAGGATGTCGTGGCCGCAGCCCCGACCCCCAAACCGCCTGAGCGCCACCGACACGACAACCCTCCATACTGCCGCTGTTCCACTCCGCCCACCACCACTGGCTGGAAATCAAAGACACCGAGGGGGAAGACGACCGAAAGCCTCAGCGTAGCACCGGCCTCCCGACCCAAAAGTCGCTTGGCGACCGATCTCACGAACCGGCGTCGGAAGACGAAGATTGTCCGTGAAGTCGAAGCTCTCTCCATCGCGATTGACGGGACAAACGCGAAAATCGCAGGATTTAGGCGGCCGAGGGCCGACTGACGGCTCAAGCTCCATCGCCGCTTAGGAAGGCAAATCGATGGGGAAGAAAAGAATTACTGGCAAAGAGAGAAAAGGGACTGGCACTAGAGAGAAATTAGGACATAATATTTACCACTAATTTTATGTGAATTGAAAAGAGATTTCGTCGTTCGATTTTTAAAAGAAAATGTTAGAGGTAAAGTTCGATTGATTGTTTTTAATTTGTTTTAAATGTTCGATTGATATTGATTCCTCACATTTTTGTAAAATTCGAAGACTTCATGGTCTACTTTTCAAATAATTTATTGGAGACTAAGTTTTAGTGGCGATTGAATATTGGAGATGCATTTGGATGTGATATAATATTTTTATATGGTTGTCGAGTAGACAAACAATTTGTAAATACACAGGTATAATGGGCGTTGTTGAACTAAACAAGTTTGGCTCGGCTCCACTTGAGCTCGAGGCCTTACGAGCAGAGCTCGAGATCAGTTAAACCTCGTTTGGTTAATGAGTCGAGCTCAACTCGGCTCGATAAGGCACAAAAAGAGATTTCTAATATAATTTTCTATAATTCATTTCGTTAAAGCTCGAGATCAGCTTCTTCAGGCTCAAACTCGGCTCGTTAACAGTGATAAACGAGTCGAGTTCGAGCTTGATTTCTGGCCCGTTTATTTAACGAGCTGAGCTCAAATCGGCTCGTTAAGGGCTCGAGCTTGAGCACCCTATACATGAGCTCGGCTTGGCTTGTCTCGTTTACATACCTAAACTTGGTAT